AGGATTGCCCAACCTTCCTTCTGAGGAGTGGCTGGTGGGTTTGAACCGCCAGCCTCCTGGTTAGCAGTCAAGTGCTTTAGGCACTATGCTACCAGAGGCTAGAAAGGCTATATCAAGTAATTCACTGCACCAGAAGTAAATACAGTAAAAACCAAAACCAAACTTACAGCCGTAGAGTTGGATCTGACTAATAGTGACTACAGAAGTAGGTTTGCCCAACCTTCCTTCTGAGGAGTGGCTGATGGGTTTGAACCGACAGCCTTCTGGTTATCAGTCAAGTGCCTTAGGCACTATGCTACCAGAGCTCCTGAAGAGACAGCCCACCTGGAGGGGGGTGGCTTGTAGGTTTGAACTGTCAGCCTTGGGTGTGGCAGCTGACTACCTGAGGCCCTGAGGCCATATTACACCTCATTAATCCACATGGTTAGGTTCCACAGACTAGGTCATTATGGGAAAATTGGTGTTATGTGAAAATGGAGATGATTTTATTACAGCCTAAAATCTAAAAGCATTTGGTTTGTGGAAGTTTGCAATCTGCAGCTGTAACCCTAACTCCATTTTGAGTGTTGACATAAACTCATATACCATTTGAGTTCTTTATGGTACTTCCCCACTGCTTGCTGGCTGTTAAACCACTGATGTGGCTATGCTCTGATAAGTCTGAGAGTAGATTTCTTACTATTGTCATAAATGCAAAATGTCACAGAATGAGATAGTTGATGTGCGTGTTGTTATTGACAGGTGCTGTTGACTTGTTCCAACACCTACAGACCTCATATACAACAGAACAAAACACTGCCTGGTCCTGTGCCTTCCTCACAATTACTGCCATGTTTGACCCTATCATTGCACCCACATGTCAGTCCATCTCACTGGGGGTCTTATTCTTTTTCACTGACCCTCTGTTTTATAAAGCATGATGTCCTTCTCCAGGGACACGTCCAAATTATGTGAGACAAAGTGTCACCATCCTCACTTCTAAGGAGCATTCTGGCTGCACTTCTTCCAAGTAATTGTTTGTTCTTCTGGAAGTTCATATTTATTCAATATTCTTCACTAACATCATAATACAAATACATCAGTTCTTCTTTGGTCTTCCTTATTCTTTATTAGGCTTTTGGAAGCATATGAGACTATTGAAAATACCATGACTTGGGTCAGGCACACCTTAGTCCTC